TATTATTATTATTATTATTAATTGTTTTCACCAGTAAACAGCTTTTAACTAACATCATTCTCCCACACCACTGATGCGAAATGTTGCTGGCTAGTAGACTATGGAATCAGACCACCTGTTTACCTCCATAATGCCAGGAGCAATTAAAAGGAAACCTGTGATACAATTTTAATGCAACCTCAGCAAAGAAGACAGATGATTAAAGACAGCCTTTGTTGAAAAGCATGAAAAGAAAAGTATGTTGACTTTTTAAACAGCAAGGATTTTATATCAGAGGCCTCCTTCTTCTCCTTAAGGCTACTACGAAAATGATTCCCTTTCATACTCTCTATACCTATCATTGTAGCCAACATGGTGCAGTGGTTTGTTGCACTATGACTCTGAAGACCAGGGTTCGAATCCCTACTCAGCCATGGAAACCTACTGGGTAAGGCACACACTTTCAGCCTCAGAGGAAGGCAATAGCAAATTTCCTTTGGACAAAACATGCCAAGAAAACTCCATGATAGGTTTAGCTTAGCGCTGCAATAAGATGGAAATGACTTGAATGTGGGCAACAATACTTACACTATGCTGGAAGGGTGTAGGATCATGGGATATGCGACATATGAAAAGCACCATTATGAGCAGGGAATGTTTCTTCATCAGTGCAATGAGTAATGGTTTCTAGTAACATTCACACACTCTCAACCCCAGAAACCCCCATGATAACTTCACATTATTGTTATTGTTGTTGATGTTGTTATGTGCCTTCAAGTTGTATCTGACTTATGGTGACCCTAAAGCACCCATCATAGAGTTTTCTCGCAAGATTTGCTCAGAGAAGTTTTGCCATGCCCCCCCCCCTGAGGCTGAGAGCATGTCACTTGCCTAAGATCACCCACTGGATTTCATGGCCAAGCTGGGAATCGAACTCTGATTTCCAGAGTCAATACTGGTACAACAGTCCGGTATTCAAACCACTACACCACTGGATCTAGAGTTGCCATAAGTTGGAAGCAAATTGAAGACACACAGGAACAACAATAACCCCATCTATCAGAGCTTGGAATGTTCCTTTTTGGACTGCAACACCCAGAATTTCTGGTCAGCACAGTTAGGAATTCATAGTACATGTCATCCTTAAAAATAACTTTTACAAGCTTTGGCTCTGATCAAGGTCAAAGCTGGCTTTCATTTCTGCCCCACCATTTCATCCATCTTCAAGGTGACATATGTTCAGTCAAACAGAGAACAAACCAGACTGAGGCTTAAATCCTGTTGTTAGTCTTGATTTGAGTAGACCCATAGAATCAATGAGATTTACCTACTGTTGACTCCCCCCTCCACAACTGATTGAATGAGTCTACTCTAGTTGTGAATAACCAGCGGCAGGTCAGCCCAAATAGAGTAAGGTTGAAGTAAGGTTTTAATATAATTAACATTAAGACACCCTTCTGCAAAACGTCGGCCAGAATTCAGCAGAAGGAATAGTTAAATTAAAAGAAGAACACACTGAGATCAATCACACCTGTGGAATTAAACGAATGCATGAGATTACACATATATTCAAGACTGATAGTGGGTTGAAAGTCTTACTTTCCTCTTCTTCCAGGCAGGCATTGGACTAACGAAAGAGAGATGCATGTAATCTTTGCAGCAAGAGCACTTCCATCATTTCCGATGCCAGCTCTCCCAGTACTCAGATGTGATCAGTTTATTTTTAATTAAAGGGAGCTGCCTTGTGCAATTCAAATTAATCAAACCCCCATTAAAGAGGGAAAGAAAGAGACATGTCGCTAAGCTGCGTCACTCAAGCTCTCGGGGCTGGGGCCATTTCACTCAGCTGGCCAATTTATATGGACAGTTTCGCTCACAGCATAAAACACAGAACACATTTGCTCTAAAGCCTAACAGAAGGTTCCATAATTATTTTTGAATGTAGGAAAGAAAGCTAATTCGCGGGCTCCAATAAAGTGAAAAATGCAACATGCAGATGAAAAGTTGAACCAGAACCTGGAAAAGTTACATAATTGGCAGTGGTTATGCTGGCTGGGGGAGTCTTCTTAGAATTAACACCTTTTGCATGTTTACGCTCACCAGTTGTTAGTCTGGTGATGTCCTGTTTGTTTGTTTTATCACACCAATTCACTCCCTGCATCACACTAACATGCAGTTAATTTCTCTTCTCTCATCTCTATTAGAACATATTTGATTATGCACAAATAATTTGTAAGTAAAGTTACTTTCTACGGTTTTACAAAGAAGTCTAAACTTGCTTGTTTCTCTTCTAGACACTGGGTGGGTATGGGACTGGTTGTTGTTCACCTGCTCCTTGCCAATTTGGTTGTTCTGTAAAAGAAATCTACTACCAAGATCTCACATTTCCTTACAATTCTGGGAGCAATTGTCTCACTCTGGACCTTCCACAGTTGACCCTTGAACAACAGGTAGCAATGCTAGGGTAATTTGTATTATCTGCTACTATTGCTGTGAACAATCATTGTGTTTATTTTGTATCATTTAAGCTCTGTTTGAATTGCTATGACTGTACTCATGAAAGTCATTATAATTTCACTCCACAAGGTATTGTTTCCCTTTTAATCCATGACTGCATTCACATGGGAATGTACACATAAGGACACGTGTACCTGTCAAGTAAAAATGAATACATCTGATGAAGTAAATTCTGATTTTATGCCAATGAAAAAATGATGTCAATAATTGTGTGTTCAAGATGACACACACCTACTTATTTATTTATGGCTACTTGCTCATATATTACACTATTTCCTTAATGAGTTCAGTGCCATTTATATTCTCCTCCTCCAGTTTATTCTCACAAAAACCCTGCAAGATAGGTTGGGCTGAGAAAGAGTGACCGGATCAAGGTCACGTAGTGAGTTTAATGGCTCAGATGGGACTAGAACCTGGACCTCCCAAGTGCTCAGTCCACCATGCTACACACTACATTACATTGTTTGTCAAATATTTTGATCCTTAGGGAGCATGGCAGAAGGAGGTGTTTGCAGCCTCACCCAAAAGGTGATTCCTAGAGAATCCCTTTATTTTCTCTCACATACGTGAACAGCTGTCACACCCTTCTTATTGCTCTAGGGCAGGGGTAGGCAACCTTTCCCCTTTAAGGGCCAAGGGACTTCAGCTCCCAGAATCCCAGGAGCTATTGGCCAACATGGGACTATTGGCCAACATGGCTGTGGCTTCTGGGAGCTGAAGTCCCTCGGCCCTTAAAGGGGAAAGGTTGCCTACCCCTGCTCTAGGGACTAGAAACTTGCTTTGTTTTGAAAAGAAGCAAAAAGAGATTGTTAGAGCGATGAATACCTATACCAAATTCTATCCTCAAAAAGAGTAATCAATGCAAATACAAGATAACTAAGTGTGCAAAGATGTTGAAGAAGAAAACAGATCTCTTATCTCGAGTTTCATAAACTCTCTCTTTCTCTTTTTTAAAAGAAAGGTGAAATAAAGTTATGAAGGGCTGGAGCTCATATTGATGACTTTGGGAGTGTGAGGATGCTTTGAAGTCTCATCTGATGAACTTTTTCAGGCATTGAAAAGAGTCACTACAGACTTCACTGTCATGAGCAATCTCACAAGCATAGATGTTCTTTCTGGGGGAAAATTCATATTTAATATCAAGGCCTTGAAAGAAGGATTGTGTTGATAGCTTTCAAATTACTTGCAGGCAAAATTAGCACAGAAGTGTCCTCTGGCCTGCCTAGCACTTTTCATTAATTGCTTTAAGAAGAGCAGGAGGGGAAGCCTTGATCACAAAAATTATGGTGATTCTTCTATTACATCATTATCTATATATACTGCCCATGTATATGAATGGCGAAAGCCAAAAGACTCAGATTTCTCTCCAGAATCTACAATTTTGCAACAACATTTGACTTGAAGAGGTACAGAGAAGAAAAAGAACAAGAGGCAGATTGGTGAGCAAGAAGGAAAATGAAATGACAGGTATAAATTCCTGGAGCCTGGAAAGAAAGAGTTAAAAATAACTAGTTAATTGAAATTAATTCTCTTTCCTACAGAGCTTTGAAAAGATACTTTTTGCAATGCAGCTCCCAGGATCCACAAGCCAGCATGACCACTGACCATGCTAGGATTCTGGAGCTTATATACTAAAAAAATAACTTTTCCAAGTCCTGATTTCCAGTATTATGTAGCAATAGCAATAGTGTTTACATTTCTATACCGCTTCATGGTGAACTCAGCACTCTCTAAGCAGTTTACAATCTGTAAGCCAAATGCCCCCAACAAGCTGCGGATTCATTTTACCAACCTACAAAAGGATGGAAGGCTGAGTCAACCTCAGAGCCCTGCGATCGAACTCACAACCTTGCGGCTGCAGTACCAGCATTTAACCACTGCACCACTAGGGCTCCTTATAACTGTTATAAAACTGTATATAATTGTTTTGCATCACAATAATAACTCAACAAGAGACAGCTTTGCTCCTTTTGTGGTTCAACTGTCACTTCTAGGTTATTTTATACATATGGGAGTGTGGCCTCACTAAATAGTAGAGAAGGAAGATGATACGGTTCAAGCGCTGGCTTGTTCTGTACCTCCTTGCTTTGTTGTGGGTATTGTTGAGACAACTTCAAGGTGGATGGAAGAACAGTGTTTCCTGCACACTTGTGGTAAGGGGCACAGGACCCACATGAAAGTGTGGGGGGGGGTACCCACAAATATTACTAATACATAATTATTACTAATAATTATGTATTAGTAATATTTGTGGGTACCCCCCCACTTTACTACTAATACATAATAATAATAATACTAATTACTAATACATAATACATTACTAATACATATTACTAATGTAGTATGTATTAGTAATGTATTATTATTACTAATAATACTACATAGTAATATTTATTATTATTATGTATTATTACTAATACATATTAATTACTATTACTAATAAATAATAATGATAATGATAATAATAATAATAATAATAATAATAATAATAATATACACCCCAATACCCACTCACTAATATTACCCTAAGAGAACACTTCTCTAGGAATCTCTAGGTTCTCCAGTGCAACTCTATGGCCAACATGCAGCAGAGATTGACCATAGAATTGCACTGGAGGACCTACAAATGCCTAGATAAGAGTTTTCTGTAGCAACCTCTAGGTCCTCCAGTGTGACTCTATGTGCAACCTCTTGCAAATTCACGCTGGAGGACCTAGAGATTCCTAGAGAGAACATATTAATTAAATCCGTGAATAACCAAATCCGCAAAAGTCAAATCTACAAATGGTCAGGGTCAACTGTACAGTGTGTTTTGTACCATAGGCCAGCAGCTTGAAATTGATTTTTAAAGTAACTAACAAAAACCTAGCTACTTTTGAAAAACAGGAAAGAAGAGGAGGGTTTTGAAGGCTATAAGAGTAACTCATTACTTTGGGATCCTTAGGATTATAAGTAGAATTGGTTTTTTAAAGGGACTCATCAAAGTTGGTGCATATTTATGCTTCTTTCCTGCTCAATGCACAACAGTCCTCTCTCTCTCTACTCCAAAAAAAAAGGGGGGGTATTTCAAAAGGGAGAGTCCTTTAATTTATTTAATATGTTAACAAAAGTCTCCTGCAAAATGAAAAGCATCTGCTGAAGAAACAGAGCCATCCAACCTGAATTCCCCAAAACAGGTTTTTGTGTGCGGGGGGGGGGGGGGGGGGGGGGGGGGGGGGGGAATTAGCTAGCCAGTGTTTTATTTTATTTTATTTTATTTTTCCAGATCCTAGATAGCTTTTGTTATCAAGCCACGTTTGTGAAATTAAATGGTGCTTAAAATTAGGTTTTCAAAACACTTTCTTTGTTGTCAAGGATTTTGCAATAATCACGGATTTAAATGCAGGGTTGCTGGGTTGTTGGGTGTTTTTTTCCTCCCCTCCACAAGGACAAACAGTTCTCTGCAAGCTGTGCAATTATGTAGTACATAATGGCTAATTAC